TATTCCCCTCCCCAACTGAGGATGGAACCCAGGGCCTTGAGCTTGCTAGGCAAGTTAGTGCTCTGTCACCAGAGTTGAGTCCCCAACCCCTCATTTTTTTAAAGACAGGGTTTCCAGAACATTTAGTATTCATATATTTAAAATACATGTACCAGAGTGTACATGTGGAAGCCAAAGGACAACTTGGTTCTCTCCTTTCAGCACATGGGTCCTGGGGACCAAACTCAGGTTCAGGGTGTCAGGTTGGTGGTAGGTGCCTCAGTTTACCAGTTGAGCCGTTGCTGCCTGGGCACAAAATTCTTATACAGAAGGTGTTCAGAAGCTTCTGCTTAATTGCGAACAGGAAGTTAAGGAGCTTTAATGTTTCCCTTTACCTAAAAAGCACTATTTAAGATATAGCTCAAAGCTCAATTAAAAGCAGTTTCCTTTTTTTTGGTGTTTTGAGACAGGGTTTCTCTGTGGCTTTGGAGCTTGTCCTAGAACTATTTATTATTTATTCTAATAAAGTGTTCCTTATCCAGGGGTAGATTCACAGATCACAGGGGAACAGGAATTGAATTCAGCAGCAGACAGAGAATGAGGCACGCTTTACCAGACCACGCCCAAGTGGGCTGGTATCTTAAAGGCTATTGGCTGAAGGAGTTCCCACGGCACGCTTCTAAACAGGATTTGACTCCGACTCACTGAACAAATATTAGCATGTTTTTTAATCAGAGGAAAAATGATATCACCGTTTCAAGCATCAGTAGTTTAAATGACATGCTCTTCTTAGCCAGGTGGTGGTGGCGCACGCCTTTTATCCCAGCACTCGGGAGGCAGAGGCAGGCGGATCTCTGTGAGTTTGAGGCCAGCCTGGTCTACAAGAGCTAGTTCCAGGACAGGCACCAAAGCTACAGAGAAACCTTGTCTTTAAATAAATAAATAAATAACATACACTTATAAGCAAAAAAAAAAAAAAAACAAGAAAAAAACTAAAACAGATTTCTCTAAAGTGTCTACAATTTGAAATTTCTTTCTACACAGCTTTATTATTGCAATAGTAAATTAAGATTTTTTTTTTTGTTTTTGTTTTTCGAGACAGGGTTTCTCTGTGGTTTTGGAGCCTGTCCTGGAACTAGCTCTGTAGACCAGGCTGGTCTCGAACTCACAGAGATCCGCCTGCCTCTGCCTCCCAAGTGCTGGGATTAATGGCATGCGCCACCACCGCCCGGCCAAATTAAGATTTTTTATTGTTTTTATTTTGCTATATATTTTTCTCCACTTCCCTCCTACCCTCTCCCATGGTTCCCATGCTCCCAATTTACTCAGGAGATCTTGTTTTTTTCAACTTCCCATGTAGATTAGATCTATGTATGTCTCTCTTAGGGGCCTCTTTGTTGTCTAGGTTCTCTGGGATTATGAACTGTAGGTTGATTTTTCCTTTGTTTTATGTCTGAAAGTCACTTATGAGTGAGTATATATGATATCTGTCTTTTTGTGCCTGGGTTACCTCACTCAATATAATGTTCTATAGACCCATCCATGTGCTCACAAATTTCAAGAAGTCATTGTTTTTTTTCTGCTGTGTAGTACTCCATTGTGTAAATGTACCACATTTTCCTTATCCATTCTTTGGTCGCGGGGCATTTAGGTTGTTTCCAGACTCTGGCTATGACGAACAATGCTGCTATGAACATAGTTGAGCACATGTCCCTGTGACACGATAGTATTGCTGGGTCTTGAGGAAGGTTGTTTCCTAATTCTCTGAGAAATTACCATACTGACATCCAGAGGGGTTGTACAAGTTTGCATTCCCACCAGCAATGCAGGAGTGTTCCCTTTACCCCACATCTTTCCAGCATAAAGTTGTCATCAGTGTTTTTGATCTTGGCCATTCTTACAGGTGTAAGATGGAATCTCAGTGTTGTTTTGATTTGCGTTTCTCTGATGACTAAGGATGTTGAACATTTCCTTAAGTATCTTTCAACCATTTTAGATTCTTCTGTTGAGCGTTCTCTGTTTAGGTCTGTACCCCATTTTTTATTGGATTATTTGTTTCTTTAATGACCAATTTCTTGAGTTCTTTGTATATTTTGGAGATCAGCCGTCTGTCCGATGTGGGTTTGGTAAAGATCTTTTCCCATTCCATAGGCTGCCGTTTTGTCTTGTCGACCATGTCTTTTGCTTTACAGAAGCTTTTCAGTTTCAGGAGGTCCCATTTATTAATTGTTTCTCTCAGCATCTGTGCTGCTAGGGTTATATCTAGGAAGTGGTCTCCTGTGCCAATGCATGGAACTAGTTCAAGTAGACCACGCTGGTCTTGAACTCACAGAGATCTGCCTGCATCTGCCTCCTGAAATGCTGGGATTAAAGGCGTGAGCCACCATTGTCCGGCCTAAAAGCAGTTTTCAGGACAGGCTCCAAAGCCACAGAGAAACCCTGTCTCGAAAAACCAAAAAAAAAAAAAAAAAAAAAAAGCAGTTTTCTAAAGTTACTTTTATTTATATACCACGTATTGAGAAACTGTCAGCTTCCATGGTGGTGATATTTTGTTTGTGCTGTAACAGATAAAGCTGGCTGAAGATCAGGATGTGGCGCTAACCACACTAGTCGGCCATAGAGGTCAGGGTGGCACATACCTTTAATCCCAGCACTAGGGAGACAGAGGCAGGTGAGTTCAAGACCATCCTGGGCTACGCTAAATTGAATCAGTCTAAAAAAACAGCTCACACAAAGGTGACCCCAGCACTTGGGATCCCACACCTTTAATCCCAGCTCTCGGGAGGTGGTGACAGGAGAGATAAGGCTGGGTGGAGAGAGGAATAAAAGGCAGCGGAGACAGGAGCTCAGAGCCTTCAGTCTGAGGATTCAAAGGGGAAGGATCGCCTTGGTCTGCGGATTCAATAGAGGTAAGAACTAGTGGCTGACTGCTCTGCTTCTCTGATCTTTCAGCTTTAACCCCTACATCTGACTCAAGTTTTTTATTATTAAGTCCAATTAGAATTCATGCTACAATCCATAACAAAGAATAGAGGAAGGGAGGTAAGAAAAGGAGGTGATGGAAATCACCTCCAGGGCTCTGGCCATGGTCGATGAGATAATTCCTCTCACTGAAACAGACCAGTGTAAAGTTCTTATCCTACGCAGAACTAAAGGTGTGTGATCCAGGTGTGGTGCACGCCATAATCCCAAAACTCCACAGGCAGAGGCAGAAGGACGGGGACCACACTCCGATCAGTGTAATTATGGTGTGGGCTAGCATATGAGAAGACACATCAGACAGCTGTGGTTCTCAGGAAGTCCTCCATGCTAGGTATTAGTTAAAATGGGCTGCTATTAAAACTTCAGCTTATCAGGGCTTGAGAGATGGCTCAGAGGGTGAAGGTCTTTGCAGTGTAAGCCCGACAAACCTGAATTTGTTCCCTGAACTTCATGCAAAGGTTGATGACCCTCATGTACCAGAACACACTTGCATGGTGGCACGTGTACAAACACACTGGAATTCATGCAAAGGTTCATGACCCCCATGTCCACACCACAGCATGCTTGCACATACACACTGATAATTCATTTCTGAGATGGGCTTTTACTGCATAGGTCTGGCTGGACTGGAATCACAGGGGTCTGCCTGCCTCCACCTCCTAAGTGCTGGAATTAAAAGTGCTTGCCACCCAACCTGCCAATAATAATAATTTAAAAATTTAGCCTGGAAGCTGGGCCTGGTGCCTCACACTTGTCATTGAAGGACTAAAAAATGCCCCAAAAGCTTCATGTAAGCTGAGATACTGCAGCAGAGGAGTTGACAAGATGATAAATTTTGCCCACAAGGTCAACATACCAACATCCTCCTTTGGTATTTACAACCTTGAGACAATTTAAGCAGAACAGATGTGCAGATGGAAACTTCCACGCAGAAGTTTCTTTTTCTGTCCTAAGCAACCCCAAAGTCCCCTGCTCCATGGTGCAGTGCAGTCTCCACTCCTGAGGAGACTCGGCTGGCCTTCGTTGTTCTGAAGACAAGACAATCTGCTTCTATTGAGGTCGGTCTTTATTATTTTCAGACCACTTGATCAGTCCTGATCTAACAGAACCGATCTAGCCAGCACTTGGGAGTCAGATGGATTCCTGTGAGTTAGAGGCCAGGGCTAAACAATGAAACTCTTATCTTGTAAAAAATGGTCAGTCAACCAACCAACCAATCACCCTGGCCTGGCACGGTGTGCTAGAATCCCAGCACTCTGGAGGTGGAGGTAGGGAGACTTGCCAGGAGTTCAATTAATCTGGGCTACATGGCAAAGTCCGGCTTCAAAAAAAAAAAAAAAAATTAAATCAGTTGGAGTTTTCAGCCTCTGAAGTGTTAAAACAGCATACACAATATCACAAAAGCTAATTCTCATTAACTGCAATAAAAGACAATAGAAATAAGTACGAACAGCTATTATCTAGACAGTGTAAATCTAATCAGGAAACAAATTTTCTACAGATATCATCAATTTTACTAGCTCTAATCGCTAGTAAAAAAGAAAATTACTTTTCTGTAGGACAGTCTGCTCTTAATGATTTCTACTCCAGCAATGAATGGTAAAACAAAACAAAATAACAAAAGCCCTAAAATAAGTCATAATAATGAGAGCGTATAAATTAAGTACACATGTGTGTATGTGTATTTATACTAAGAGACAGATTAAATTACGGTTTGACAAGATAGTGGGAAATTTTATTTTCCTGAATTTTTGTTTTGTTTTTAGAGTTAGGGTTTCTTTGTGGAACTTGCTCTGTTGTAGACCAGGCTGCCCTCCAAGTCGCAGAGATCCGCCTGCCTCTGCCTGCCCAGTGCCGGGATTAAAGGGGTGCGCCATCACCGCCCGGTATTTCCTGCAATTTTTTTTGTGTGTGTGTGACAGCACCATTACACAGCACATTGGCTTTGAACTCTGATCCTCCTGCCTCAGCTTCCAAACTGCTGAAATTACGGGTGTGTGCCGGTGGTTTCCTTAGGTTTTGTTTGTTTTTTCTCCTAGGGCCAATCAGTTAGGCCAGCACGTTCTCACGTGCTAGCGAACAAATATAAACACCAGGGCAGCACGGTGGGCCCTGGGTCTGGTGCGGGACTCAGGGCTGGAGAGGCCGCCTCAGAGGACGTCCAGAGCACGGTCACCGTTTCCGACTCAGACCGCCACTCCGGAACGCCTAGAACGCCCCAGGGGTCGGGCCTCGGAACACGGGCGTGGGCCAGGCTTCTGGCCGTCCCTAAGGGCTGCACGGTGCCCGGATGCTTCGGAACCCGGGGACAGAGGCTGAGCCACGCCGACCACGCCCGGGTCGGAGACACGCTCCCACGGCCCTCCGCCCAGACCGCCTCCCGGCAGGCTCCGCTCCCCCGGGCGGAGAACGCAGACGGGCGTCTGTGCAGTCCGGGCTCTCTGATTGGTCCGCGACGCCGCGACCCGCCCAGGACTGGCCGCGCGCCGCGGCTGCGGGGCGGGGCCAGCGATTTCGCGCCAAAATCGCGTAGCTGGGCCCGCCCCCCGGGCTACGTCGCGCCTCCCATGTTTTTTCAAACCCCGGGCTGGGCGGGGATTGGTGGGCTGGGCCGTCACGTGGTTAACGGTCGCGGGAAGCCGCGGAACGCGAACTTGCGGCCGAACTTGCGGAGACCTTCGCCTGCTACCTGGACCGGTCAGGGTCCACTGGGCAGTCCGCGCCGCAGCCGTCGCCGTCGCGGCGTCGGGAGCTTGGAGCGCCTCGGAGCCACCGCCCCGGGTACCGCCGCAGCCACCTAGCAGGCCTGCTGCAGCCTGAGCCCGGCGCGCCCGATCGCACGTGGCGGACCCGCCCCCTGTGCCAGCCGCGACCTGGACACCGCCGGCCTGTGTTCGCCCGTCCTCCGCTCTCCCGTGCTCCGCCGGGACTGCAGCCGGGAGATGAGCTTCCTGAGCCGACAGCAGCCGCCGCCCACCCGCCGCGCCGCGGCCGCCTGCAGCCTGCGGCAGAAACTCATCTTCGCCCCGGGCAGCGACTGTGAAGAGGAAGAGGAGGAGGAGGAGGAGGAAGGCAGCGGCCACAGCACCGGGGAGGACTCGGCCTTCCAGGAACCCGATTCGCCGCTGCCCTCCGCGCGCAGCCCCGCCGAAGCCGAGGCCGAGCGCCGCCGCTCGCCCGGCGCCGAGCCGAGCAGCCCCGGGGAGCTGGAGGACGATCTGCTGCTGGGGGGCGGCGGCGGGGGCGCGGAGGCGGCGGGCGCCGGCACCGAGGGCGACTCCTGGGAGGAGGAGGGGTTCGGCTCGTCGTCCCCCGTCAAGTCACCGGCCACCGCCTACTTTCTGGGCACGTCGTTTTCGCCGGTGCACTGCGGCGGCCCGGGGGATGCGTCCCCGCGGGGCTGTGGGTCGCCGCGGGCCATGGATGGCCGCTGCTCGCCGCTGCCCGGCTATCCCAGCACCCCGCCGCATAAGACGTTCCGCAAACTACGACTGTTCGACACGCCGCACACGCCCAAGGTACGCGGGGACCCGGGACACCGGTTTCAGGGCCTTTAAAAAAAATAAAAAAAACCGCGGCGCTGCAGCCGAGCGCGCCGCTGTTGGGGTTCGGTTACATAACCGCCTCGCCGCACCCCTCTCGTCCTGCGCCGCCACCAAAAAAAAAAAAAAAAAAAGTTGGCAGCCCCACTTTTTGGCTCTGCCCAGACGTTGTCGGTTAAGATTATGTAACTGAACAATGGGCCTGGGCTGTAACTTCTTCATCTTACAAAGGGGCTGGTCCCCGCCGTCCAGGTGGCTGAGGACGTGGCCCCGGTGGTGTGGCGCGGTGTGCTAGACTGCCGGTTTGGGGCGGGCCACCTGGCACTACGAGCCATATGGTGCCATTTAAACCGGTGGTCGGGCCTGTAATTTGGGGAGCCCGGGTAGAAGGAGTTAGGCTTATTAAAGGGTTTTTATTCCTTCTGTACTTCTGGTTTCGTGTTGCCCTCTGGGAGTTCTCTGCGTTTACAGCCGCAGAGTCATGAACACCCCAGGTAGCTTTTGATTGTCTTTCGGGACTTTGTTTTAGCGAAGCTTTGTGTTTACCCTGGGGTTTGCTCTGAGGGTTTGTTGGCCTATGTGTTAAAATGAAGGTGTCTTAGAGAAGTGTGTGGTCAGCACCCCTCCGGAATAGCCCGTGTACGTGTACACTATCACTAGTAACACCCGAGAAGACACACACACACACACACACACACACACACACACACACACACACAGAAATTAAGACATTTCCCCAAATTAAGACAAACACGCTACCTTAAGTTTAACACGGAAAGAAGTGTTAACACGGAAAGGGAGTCGGCGTTTGCAGATTTCCACGCACCCTTAGTCATAACCCTCGAGAATACGTGTGTTTTGGAGCGTTGCTATTTTATTAGCGGACTTGCCCAACGCATGGTTCTTATAGTGGTGGGAGGAGTCCAGTGAGGCCGCCTTCCAAAGCCCTCTTGAGGTGGATGTGGGGACTTTTTCGAACCGATCGCTTTTATTTTTAGAATGTTGAAAGAGCTTGTTAATTTTTAGCCACTGATATGAAGTTAGTTTTAGTCGCTATAAATGTCCCTTTTAAGGACTTGGTTCCGGTTTTTACTTTGCTATCTTTTACAGATAGTGTGCAACCTGACCCCTAAGTCAGCCACTGTTTATTTTACTTGAAATGTAGGGAAGGCTCGTATTTTGCCCCTCCCTTGTTCTTTTCTTTCCCCAAGTCTGGTAGTGGGACCTGTCCTTCACTATGTGATGCTTTCGGCTACATCAGCCACCTAGAAATGCCAGTTGAAGGCTGTGTCCTGAAGATTGTTTTTCCTTTCATAGAGTTTGCTTTCCAAAGCTCGAGTAATTGATTCCAGCTCTGTTAAACTCCGGGGTAGTTCTCTATTCATGAACACAGAAAAATCAGGAAGAAGAGAATTCGACACCCGGCAAACTCCTCAAGTGAATATTAATCCTTTTACTCCGGATCCTGTATTGCTCCATTCCTCAGGACAGTGTCGCGGGAGAAAGAGAGCATATTTTAATGAGTAAGTCTTTGCAGTTTGGGTCTTCTGTACACCTAAGCGGGGTTCCATGTACTGTTCAGTTTGTACTGAGTGCATGAGTGTCTGCTCTGAAAGGCTTCACTAATGAACATCAGCGCCCAGCTCTCAGGAGAGGGATGGATGCAGGGAAGAAGTGGAGTAAGAAAGGAAAAGAATAGGAAACCTCGATTCCTGGGGAGATGGCTTAGCTCTTGAGAGCTCTTGCTGTTCTTGGGGTTCAGTTCTCTGCACCTGAGTGATGGCTTACAAATGGCTGTAACTCTGCCTCCAGGGGGTCCATTGCTCCTTCTGACCTCTTTAGGCCCTGGATGTGCATGCAATGCTCATACCTGCAAAAACTCTTATACACAAAAGGCCTAGACCAGGCATTGGTGGTGCATGCCTTTAGTCCAAGCTTTTCTGTAGAGGCAGGTGGATCTCTTGAGTACAAGGCCAGTTTGGTTACAGTGCGATTTCCAAGACATCCACGATACAGAGCAACCCTGCCTTGAAAAAAAAAAAAAAAACTAGAGTGTTAATTCATTAATTATTTTAATGTGCATTGGTGTTTTGCCTGCATGTGTATGTGTGAGGATGTTGGGTCCCTTGTTACTGGAGTTACAGACAGGTGGGTATTTGGAATTGAATCTGGGTCCTCTGGAAGAACAGCCAGTGCTCTTAACCGATGAGTTGTCTCCAACCCCAAGCCTAGATTTCTCGTCAGACATCTAATTTCAAGTAATTTGAGAGAATTGTTATTATTACACGGATTTATTTTGTGTGTGTGGAGGTTGACTTTAGGGACTTGATTCTCCTTCCACTGAGTGGGTGTCAAGAGGTGACTGGAACCTTTACCCTCTGAGCCAGTGGTTCTCAACCTTAATGCTGCCATAAAATTATTTTTATTGCTATGTCATAACTAATTTTGCTACTGTTATGAATCTAATGTAAATGTAAGTATCTAATGTATATTTTACTTTACCCCAAAGGGATCTTGACCCATAGGTTGAGAACTGCTGCTCTGAGCTATCTTGATGGCAGGGATTTGATTTCAGAAATGCTTTAATTTTGGTCTGTGTAGCAGTAGTCTAGTTAGTGAGCATATCTGGGTAGGGATTTTTTTCTTTTTGTTTCTTTTTTTGAGACAGGGTTTCTCTGTGTAACAGCTCTAACTGTTCCTGGAGCTAGCTCTTATAGACCAGGCTGGCCTTGAACTCACAGAGATCCACTTGCCTCTGCCTCCTGAGTGCTGGGATTAATGGCGTGCACCACCACCCGCCGCCCAGCTGGTTTTTTTTTTTTTTTTAATCAGATGAGCCAAATTTTAGGGTTACAAAATTAACTATATGCTTTCTTTTTTTGTAGTGATATATCATTTGTGTTTTAACAAATAAAGCTTGTCTGAAGATCAGAGAGTAAAACAGCTGCATTGATCAGCCATATAGACCAGGCAGTGGTAGCACACCTTTAATCCCAGTAGCCACTGTAGTTTGCCATAGAAACTGGGCATTGGTGGTTGCATACCTTTAATCTCAGCACTAGAGAGGATAAATTTAAGATGGGAGGACACGGTTTCAGGCTCAGTCTCATTCTGAGCATTTCTGGAAGTAGGGTTGTCATTTTTAGACTGAGGTAGAGGTAAGAGCCAGTGGCTGACTGCTTTGCTTTTCTGGTCTTCAAGTTGAACCCCAGTATCTGTCTCTGGGTTTTTATTAATCATGCTACATTTTTTTTCTATCCATTAAAAAATCTATTTTATTCTATAGTTATGTAAAGTTAATCTTAAATTGATGTATGTTCTGATAACATTTAATTCTTTTTTTAGTTCCTCTGAAGACATGGAAGCCAGTGATTATGAATTTGAAGATGAAACAAGACCTGCTAAAGTAAATAGCTTTTTATAATTTAGTTAATATATGTCTGCATGTCATATAAACAGTAGAACCTAGGGTAGAATAATTTTTTAATTTTATATCTTTGTATTATAAATGGATATTCTATATTACAGAGAATTACAATTACTGAAAGCAATATGAAGTCACGGTATGAAACTGAATTTCATGAGGTTGAGAAAATTGGTTCTGGAGAATTTGGTTCTGTGTTTAAATGCGTGAAGAGGCTAGATGGATGTATTTATGCCATTAAGCGATCAAAAAAACCATTGGCTGGCTCTGTTGATGAGTACGTATTAATCATTTCTGTCTTTTGTATTTTGTCTCCCTTGTTATTGATATAAAGTTCTAGGTAACCAAATACCTAATGCTTTTATTAAGACTAGATCTTATGTAGATTAGGCTAGCCTTGGTGAGCTCATTGTATGCTGATGATTTTAACTCCCCTTCTCCTGCCTCAATTTCCCTGATGGTTACAGTGTGTACTACTATGCCAGTTTCTATAATTCTTAGTTCTGTTAAATAAGACACCTTTTAGCATAATGATAGTTTAAAAGGTCATATTTACTTTATGGTGCTTCAGGTGATTTGATTTAGTCCTGAGTAGAAATGGTTTAACTCTCTGTTAATATTTTTCTTCTAGGCAGAATGCTTTGAGAGAAGTATATGCTCATGCTGTGCTTGGGCAGCATACCCATGTGGTTCGCTATTTCTCTGCGTGGGCAGAAGATGACCATATGCTTATACAAAATGAATATTGTAATGGTAAGTGATGTCATGTTCATTCATAAACTTTTGAGTTTAAAAAATAAACACTGCTAGGCAATAGTGGCGCACACCTTTTATCAATCCCAGCACTCCAGGGAGGCAGAGACAGGTAATTCTCTGAATTCGAAGCCAGCCTGGCCTACGGAGCGAGTTCCAGGACAGGCTCCACAGCTAAAGAGAAACCCTATCTCGAAAACCAAAAAGAAGGAAAGAAGCACCATGGGAATATTTATTACGATCTTTCTGGTTCCCTTTCTCTGTGTCTGTGTGTGAGATTTTTAAGATCGGGTCTTACTATGTAACCCTAGCTGGCTTGGAACTCACAGATTCTCATGCTTCTGCATACCCAGAGTGGAGATTAAAGACATACACTACCTTACCCGACTCCCTTTTTCATCTTTCATCCAGAAGAGTAACATGAATTTCATCTGTTAACATACCTCAGTAGGAGAACTTGTTCTATTTATATGCTTGTTACTCAGTGCTGAGCTTCATGAGAAGACAGCATACTAATATGCTTTCCCATATTGTATATTTTGTTATTTCTGAGCACACAGCACACAGGAAAGATTATCTTAGTCTATTCTCTTCAGCTGTACAAAAATAATACAGTGAGATGAGGCGATTATAATAAATTTGTTTCTCTGTTTTGGAGGAAGGGAAGTCTAAGAACAAGACGTGAGCATCTGAGGTGGTCCTTCATGCTGTATCTTTGCATGTAGAATGTAGGGTTTCACTGTATATTCTTGGATGAAGCTCTATATATGCAGACTAAACTGGCCTTCCTGGGTGCTGGGATTAAATGCATGTGGTACCACCCCTGGCCCTTTTATATTTCAATGGCAAATTTCATGACAGTCCTTTCCTTTGTGGTGCTAGAGTTTGACTGAGAGCTCCTCGACTGCTCTCCATGCCCTGCCTCTGAGCTGTGTCGTCAGTTCTTTGTGTGCGTTGTGCTGTGACTGGTATCACTAAGCAGTTAGCTAGGACTCTAGCCAAGGCAGACCTTGATCTTAAGATATTCCAGGAGACTAGTACCACGAGACCAGACTTAATTTCACATTAATCCCTTCTTGAAGGTACAGCTCTCTATTTACTGTTTACTAGGGCCCAGATTTCAATACTTGAACTTTGGGATACACGTTCAAATAATAAAGTTGTTTTCAATGAATTTTCACTGCATTTAGCTTTTGCATTTTGTGAGCTTCTAACATTGGTGTTGGTTTCTCATAAAAGGACAATGACTCCATTGATCTAAATTTAGCCATTTCTTGAAGCCGTTCTGAAATCCTGTCCAGTCTAGTTTAAAGCTAGAATTCATTAATACATCTGTATTAAGTAAGTTATGTTCTTTTTCCTTTTTTTTTTTTTTTTTTTTTTGAGGCAGGGTTTCTCTGTGTAGCCCAAGATGGGTGTTGGTTTCTCATAAAAGGACAATGACTCCATTGATCTAAATTTAGCCATTTCTTGAAGCCGTTCTGAAATCCTGTCCAGTCTAGTTTAAAGCTAGAATTCATTAATACATCTGTATTAAGTAAGTTATGTTCTTTTTCCTTTTTTTTTTTTTTTTTTTTTTTTTT